CGTTAATAGGTACATGCGCAAGGCCGTGCCTTCACCGCCACTGCTTCCAGAACTCTTCCATAACCCCACACAGAGGCTTCATACCCCTTCACCCAGTCCCTGGCAACCGCTGATCTGTGTCTCTCTAGATTTACCTCTTCCGGATACTCTGTATAAATGGAATCATACACTCTGTGAACTTCTGCGTCTGGCCTATTTTGGTCAGCATGATGTTTTCAGGGTTCATACCTACTTTATCAGGCGTGTTAGCAGCACTTTGATCCTTGATTACGGCTATTATTTCTTCGCAGGGAAAGCCCATATTTTGTTTATCCGCAGTCACCTGCTGATGGACACTCCGTTTGTTTCTACCTTCTGGCTGTTGTAAACGGTGCTACTATGAACACTGGCACACAACTATGATTTGAACTCCTTTTTTCGATGTTTTTCCGTATACACCTGGTAGTGGGATTGTTGGGTTACAGGATAATTTTATGTTTAACTTTTTGAGGAACTGCCAAACTGTTTTCCATAGCGGCTGCACCATTTTACATTCCCAGCAGCCACGTACAAGGCTGCCAGTTGTTCTTTCTTTTCCTCAATTCTGACTTCACTCGGGACTTTAGGGCTCCTCAAACTATTCTTCCAAGCTTACCTACTAGTCTGGGGCCTTTAGTGAATAAATTTTTAAAAGCAGAATTCAATAGTTTTCTCAAAATCCACCAGGACGTATTGTCTTATAATATTTAGATTTTTACCTCCCACCTCTCCCTTTGATTACAAGAATGAGCTTTGCAATCTGATGCCTGGATCTGGATTCTACCCCTCGCATTCCATTCATGTGCTCCAGCTTCCTCCTTTATAAACTGGAATGTTGAGTGTTTTCGTTTATTATGGCTGCGGTAACAAATCACCACAGTCATTAGCTTAGAACAAGAGTCATTATCTTATAACTCTGGTGGTCAGAACTCTGAAATGGGTCTTAAAGGGCTAACATCGAGGGGTTAAAGCCAGATCCCCTGAGGGCTCAAAGAAAGAATCTGTTTTCTTGCCTCTTACAGCTTATGCCACAGTCCTTGGCTCAAGGCCCCTTTCTCCATCTTTAAGGCCAACAATGGTGAGTGAGTCTTTCTCACATCCTATCACTCTGACACAGACTCTGCTGCCTCCCTCTTCCACCTTTAAGAACCCCAGTGATTACCTGGGCAAACCTAGATAACCCAGGATCAGCGACCTCAACTCCCCCTGCCACGTAACCACATGTTCACAGGCGCCAGGGATAGGACGTGGACATCTCTAGCCGGCATCATTCTACTTAACACAATAACAGCAATACCTTCCTCTCAAGGTTGTTTCTAAATTCTTTCCATTCCTCAAGATACATAGTTCTGAAGACTGGAAGTCACTTAGAAGATCTCTCTACTCACTTACTCAACAAATACCCACTGAATTAATGAAACAAAGCATATAAAGTACTTAGAGCCTGGTACCCAGTAAGCACTTAATAAATGTTACCCATCATCACAGTATGATCCACGTATTTTATAATCCCTTTTGGCCATGGGATTGTAGCCACAAGAATCCCCTTCATAGTCTGAACGTTCTGGGACCAGTCTTCCTAAAACCCAGCCAAGCACTACTTCCTTTCACAATCATCAAGTCCAACACAACCTCCCCATCACTAACCTGTGTTTGTGTTATAACAATAGTGGAACCGAAGCACAGCGGCTCCCCTCACCATGTCCCCTGACCGCGAGGAGATGAAGCACAACGTGGAACTGGTCAAGAACTCATGATATACCATCTGGTTCCAATAGCAGAGCCGAAGGTTCCATCACTGGGTCTCTAACCTGTGTCCAGCCTGCAGCCTTCAGCCCCACCTGGCTCAAGGGTCAGCAACATGACCCCGAAACACGCTGAGCTTGGTGCTATGCACTTTACTCCCACACGAAGCCTTCCAGCAGGTCCCCAAGGCCAGCTGCACAGAATTCACTGATTTTGAAGAAGGTGATGACAGGTTTTCCTTCAAGAAGAGTCCATCCTCCATCAGAACCACACCTTTTACTGAAGGTGCTCACCTCTACCTCAGATGTTGAGATTCCTCTAATGTCACAAAGAGAAGTGGGAGAACATGAAGCTGGCCGAGACCCCAATGTTTGTTTCTAAGCAGCTACCCTGACATTGATCATTATGTCCACCTGAATTTGATGCAAGTGTTGTCTTTTATCATATTTGGTGCTCAGTTTTTATGATTTTTCTCCTTCCTGTTTTAAGCTGTTTTTCATACTCACAGGTTGGCAATGAATCCCAGAACAGATGCTTCCTTCCCCTGGTGTCAGCTGCACTAGTCCTTGCTGAGCCTGGAGCCCCAATTCCCCTCCATGGTGGTGGTTCTGTCACAGAGTCAGCAGGCCTGGGGACGGAGCAGCCTCCACACTGAGCGGCAAGTGGGCCCCAGGTCCGGCCTGCAGTCTTGAGAGTCTGGTGTGTGCTAGTTGGAGATCATCATGAGGACACTTGGGAGCTGGCACAGGCTTGAGTGGGAACCGCTGTGGGACTGGGCCTCGGGACTCTGAAGGGCCCCTTCTCGGTCTCCTTCCCCAAGTACAAGAGGCAGGATACCGCGACTCAGACCATTCCATTTGCAGTCCAGATCTTCAAGCTCTCTAATGAACACCTCCGGCCTTAACTGTAAAGCCTCAATCCGTTCCAACCCTAGCAGGCAAACCCGAGCTCAATCCTCACTGCAACAATGCGCCCTCTGGTGTTGTGCCACACAGGTGCCTCAGTACACCCAAGGTGGTAGAATCCTAAACCCCTGCCCATGCACCTGCCCCTCCCCTCGGAGAGCACGACCAGGATCCCTGCTCCCCACCACCGCTGGACTAGAGCTCACCCGCAGGTCCCTCTGTCGGGACAATCTCATGGCTGCTTCCGAGCCGTGGTGGGGGCAATTCTCCTTCCCTTTCTCAAAAGGCTGGGTCACATCCTCCCATTCATTAGCTCTTGACCACAATTTCCTTCTGTCATCTCAGAAACCATATTATCTTCCTGGTATCCCCTCAGGTTGTTTCTTTCATCTAAGGAGAATCCAGCCTTGCCAATAATGCAGACGAAGAGAGGAGAGCACCTCCAGCCCTTTTATTGTTCTCTGGCACAGGAGAAGCTGCTCTCACCTGGGCAGATACAACCAACTGTGGCCCAGCCCATAGCCTATGGGTCCCACAGCAGCTCTTAGCTTGCTTTCCTGCCCTAAATTCCAGTTCTCAGATCTTCAGATAAGCTAATAATCCTTCTTGGCTCCCTCTGAAAATTTCCCAGCAAAACTGCTAGCAACTGCATGCTTTCTGGACTGTTTATGCTGTTCCTGGGTCAAGGGTGTGCCAGGAAGGCCAGCTCTGTCCTTTAGGCCCGCAAGCCCATCGGCCCAAATATCTTCCTCGCTACATCCTTTCGCTACCGCAGCAGGCCAGGAACTTAGCTGCCTCTGCACCCTTCCACAGCATCAGCACCCCCAGGGGTGGGCAAGCCTACTCATCTGGCCCACTCCTTTGGTTCTGTCTTGATTTTATTTGGGAATTAAAGGCTATCTACGTTTATTTTATGGTTAAAGAGATTATGACAAGAACACAAATGTAAATAAACAGTGATTAATTATACTAAAAATGGCATGAGTGAGGTTTCAGTTCGGTAAGAGCCTCAAAAGAAAAATGAAACAGGATGGTTCAGGGAATAAGGCACAATAACTGTGAGAGAGAGATTGAGTGAGAGAAATTCAGAGTATTCTCTTTAACAGATGACAGCTGGGTAATTTTAATTAAAAACTCTGTATTTAAAATAGGAATATACACCGACTACACAAACCCTAGTTGATGAGGGAACTCAGTTCTGCTATTCTGAAACCACTGAAAAGCTGGAAAATTATGTTCCCAATTTCAGTCGGTTTAAAAAAATAGGTATTAACTTCCAAGAAAACAAATCTTTAAACTCTATAATCATTGGTGGTACCTTTTGGGTTGTACAGTGCTATTTTATACCAAATTACAGACAGGTACGCTGGGCCTTGGTCCATGCATCTAACTCAAGACTTTTTAGCAACTTTCATTTGATATGGCTCAGAGATTATTAGTGGGGGCTATGTGGTTTTCTGTAAATCCAGAGGCACTAAAACAAAATGGTCCTTGTGGCAGGACCTCTGCTCTAGGGTGGGGTCTCTAATTTCCAATTCACAGGGAACACTCGGCAGGTCACAGGTCAATGGGGAGGAGCCTAAAGGTCATAGATTAATGGGGGAGGAGCCTAAAGGGTACAGAGTGTCAGGGACCCTGAGGTCTTGTAGCTCTGTTTCCATGCTGCTGTCAGGCTGCTGTGAGTAGACTTACCGCGACAAGAATCCAACCTATTTGTCGCCAGGAGTTTTAATATCAGGGTTATACAAATTTCCATCACAGTCGCTTTCATTTAATAGCACTTTCCAAAAGAGCAATGGAAGAACTGGAGAGACATGTGCTCCAGATCTCAGTAGCCCAGGAATCCGAATCGGCACCCAAAAAGAACCTGCTGGCAAATTTGTCATTCTGCTCTCCTATAGAGCCCTCAGAGCCAGCACCAAAACCAAGTTCAGGCACAGACCTGGCGGGATATTTACTGACCAGAGCATACAGCCCTAGTGAAAAAAAAAGAAAACCCAACAAAGCAGAAAAAGAAAAAAAAAAAAAAAGTAACTTTTTCTGTTAGGTTTTCTAACAAAAATGTATTTGAGTACAATTAGATAGATAGTCCATTAGAGAATCTCACTGAGCCTTTGGTCACTATCAGGGAGCATTATTTTCTGTAGTCTTCTCTAGATGTTTCTAGTGGGAGTGGGGTGGAAAACAGTCTGTGTGGGATGGTTCTATGAGGTCCTGTTTGTGTGAACAGCGTGGGATTCTCTGGCCAGGCCAACAGTCCCCCCACCCATCGTTGCTGGAACACCTCCTACTGCAGGGAGGCTGACAGGGTAGCTCTCGCTAGCATGGTACCTGCCATTCCTGGTATCATGCTGCCGCATGTTCTTGATAAAATGAATCTTCTTAAAGTTCTTTGGTCTGGGCGAACCTGAGAGAGTTCGACATCTGAAAAATAAAGTCATTTCAAAAACACGATCAGTTGCCTGCAGGACAGCTGAGACATCTCCACACAAAGACAGGAAGGAAGACCAGACAAATGGTTTGAATCACCCCGAGGATAATGAGGACAATACAGCTAGAAGCTAGGAAGCTTTAAAAAAAAAAAAAAACAAAAACCAAGGAAAGACAACTTCCTTGATAATCCTGATAATCATTTATATGGGTCTCTGGAAAGCCAGCTAATGAAAACTATTGTCCTCAGTTACAATAACATAACCCACATGGATTCCAAAGCCATTATTCTTTCTTGTCATCTTAAAAAGAATCCTCCTGTATCAACACTGGTAACGGGAACAAAACTGTAAAGAATTTACAGGGGGAAGAAAAACACTGGAAAATTTAGTTTAAGAGCCATGCCAAATCATTTCTCTTCCATAGCAGGACTCTGGCCTGAACCACCTGGACGGCTGTTGAAACTTAACTTGCTTAACTGACTACGCCTGGAAGTCATGGCTTTACTTTGAAAGGGCGGCTGTTTTCGTTCTTTTTTTCCTCAAGATTCATTTTTAAATGAGTATTTGTTGAACAAAATGACATAGATTCAAAGTTACTTTTTTCCTGGAATATATGACACTGCTTGCACTACAGGACTAACAGAACACACCACAGGCTACAAAGATCTTGTTTGGTATTTTTCAAAGTTACCTGGCAAACTCTAAAGTTATACAACTGTAACAACAAGAAAAAGGGCAAGAAAAAAAAATCAAATAAGTCTGAAGTTTGATCCTGTCTTCAGAAAGGGAGCTGCGACGTCTCTGGGTTTCTGCTACCCAGAGTTCAGAACTGACCAGCCATCCGTGGCTGGGTAGACCCAGTCTTCCTAGAAGCCATTCCCTGAGAGCGCAGAGAATGATTTTTTCCCCCACTTAACTTGGAAAAAACAACAACATATTGAAGTGAATGAGTGCAGGCTAAAGCAAAGACATGGTATCAGATACTTGGTAGCTTTCATCGGGAGAAAATGGGGGTTTCCTAGTCCTTGGGTCTAGAGAAGGGAAAGCCCCTCTTTAAGTCATGTCCACCACAACAGGGCAGGGTCCATGGTCCATGCACACCATCCATGTGGGCCTGTAAGATACTTCAGCAGAAACCATGGTCCTCGCTGCCTCCAGCCCCAAACTCACCAACTCTGACACCCTATCACTAGTAATATATTTCAGATCCCTCCTGGCCTTGTTGTGAGGAATAAACACAATGTTACATACAAGAGATTCACAAACTGTCAAGTGACACATTCAAATACATCTGTACAAACAAGTAAATATTTATATACAAATCTCAGTGTTGTGATTATTAACATACCATTAACTAGAAAGCATGCATATTTTGTTACTATTTGCTTCCTTTATTCTTAAAATTGTAGCTATCACCACTGGTCCTGAATTCTTGGTTTTAGATTTTTTCAAAGACCTTCATTTAGTTATGTTTCCTGTGGCCTCCACGCGGGGTTTGAACAGATGGCACCCATCAATCCCCCTTCCCACTCCAAGTTTCCAAACTCATAGTTAGTCTTAACTGAGGTTCAACAGCACGGTGCTTCAGTCCTCCTTCTTGGGGCAGCTCCCTGGAAGCAGACCCAGGACCCTGAACTGCCTCAGTTCTACCTCCAAAATGACCATTTGAGTCTGCAGGCCCCAAATGTCTCTCTCATACACACTACACACTGCAGAAGGTTCTAGAGACATGTAGCCACTGGAGAGAAGACAATCTCTGAAAGCATAAGGCTATGCTTCCACTGGTTTCTGGAGAGGGCCAAGTGTCCAGCAATGTCCTCACACCCTTACCCTGCTTCCTCCCAAACAGCAGAGCTTCCTGAGCCAGCCAGACTGAGGACAGTGGGCCAAGGGCCGGACTGTGTGGGTAAAGGATAGGTATTCCTGCCCTCAGCAGCCAGAAGCTGGTACCCTTCAGGTTTAAGCACAAAATTCCTCTGCCTCCTGCTAGAACTGGAAGATGGCAAAAGGGCCACAGGTGGTTGCTGGCACTCACAGGGGAAGGAGGAGGCACCAGTAATCACTAAATGGTGCAGTAGCCAGTACCCATCAACCCAGATAGGCTGGAAAACAGGGGCAGGTGGAGATGGCTGGCACATTTGCCACCATCAAACTGAGGTTTTTCTGGACACCTCATAGCAATGTCCTGGGGCCTTAATAAGGGTACCAGGTCACCACCAGGCAGGTGCAAAGTCCAAAGCCTCTCATTAGGAACACTTAACTCTCAAGAGTTCTAGGCAGGTGCAGGACACTAACTTACTAGCAAACTGTGATATGCAAGAGAAAAGTGAGACTTTCAAAAAGAACGCATCAGCCCCCAATTATAAGGGCATATGCTACTAATCTAGCCCCTCCTTCAGCAAGTTGTGTGTTGTCTTGCATTTTTTTAAAGCATTCAACTAAACCACCAGGGAATCTAAGAAATGTTTTAAGAGAACTGTGGCATTAGCAACAATTGCCAAGGAAACTGGAAGACTGAGCTTTCAGTTTGCGGCAGGTTAAGCAAAGAACGAATTAATTTCAATATCCATTTAAAAACATACATCTTAAATGATGCAAAATTAAATTAGGATAGAATTAAATTAAAAACTAATTTAATGAAAGATTAGCTCTTTCTTGTTAGCACTGATTACAGCGTACACTTAATTATGCAAAAGGTTTTTAATAGATGCCTTGCAGCCATTTGTTCAATGTGCTGAGTTTAAAAGCAAGTTGGGCTAATAGCCTTCCGCCCCCACGGTTCCCAAAACACTTCAGTATTCTTATTGGTACATTCATTTCACAAAACTGCGAGCTAGAAAGGACCTCAGAGAACAGTCAATTTGCCCTCCCATTTTACAGATGGGAAAATTGAGGACCCAGAGAAGCTAAATAAAACGTCCAAGGCCGTGTAACCAGTTAGTAGAAGAATCAAACCAAGAATTCAGGACCCCAGACTCCCAGATGAATATCCCTTCTGCTATACCATGCTAATTTTATTTCCGAGAAATAAGTACATTTCTTAGTTATTTTTATTCCTATTGTAATTCCACACAGCATTACATTAGTTTCAGGTGTACAATATAGTCATTCAACAATTCTGTACAGCACCCAGTACTCATCCTTTCTAAGTAAATATTAGAACTTTGAAAAAAAAAAAAAAAAGTCTATTATGGAAAATAAAGCCTTCCCAAACGGCCCAGGTTCCCCTGGTTTCAGATTTGTTTTTTAAATTTTGTATTTACACAAGATTTGTTGGAAATTAAGTATTCTGTAAGTAAGAGCTGGATAAGTTATAGCTAAGGCAGATGAGCCCTTTATACTGTGGTCATTTGTAGCATCCGACGACTGAAGGGTAGAGGGCAGAGGATCAGCCTGGGTAGACTCTGGAAGGAAGGTACAGAAGTGAACACGCGGCACGTGACCAGGCACAAAGCATGCTACTCCTCCTCGCCCTTCTCCCCACCCCCCTTTAACCACCTGAATCCCTGAGGACAGAGTAACTTATTTTTACCTGGTTTTCGCTGACTCACAGCTACCACACTGTTTTAACTGAGGCTTCTCACAGCCTCTGGACACACCAGGCGCTTTTTAGTCCTATTCACTGATTTCCCCATTTGTGGCAAGAGTGACCTTAACCTGCTCCAATACCAAAGCCGCTCAGAGCCACCTGAGAATATTTTTCCTCCACTTTCGAGGATTACACTGGACCAGAGCCAGCTCCCTAAGTGGACTTTTTGTGCAGCTTTTTACAGGACTACCTAAGGAAACAGCCTTCTCCCAACATTTAAAAGTAAGGGACAGAAGAACACTCACACCCAAGCCACATTAATCACACAGCCACACACCATTCACCCTAAAATGGTCCCAGAGATTACGTACGTTTTCAGAAAGACTTCGGAAGTGGAAATCAGACTGGCTGGCCCTGACTTTTGTCTTTGCGACATTAGCAGCTAGACTCCACTATCACCCAATACTTTCGATCAGATCTGCCACCGATGTTCCAGCTTCTAGCCAGGTAGTCTGTGGACAGGACTAACCTGGGAGCAAAGCCCCAGGTTGGGAAGGAGCGGGCTCTGGGGTGAGAAGCCTCGGTCCACAGCGGCGCTCTCTCAAGCTCAGAAAAGAAGCCCACACTCCCGAGCCCTGGCCAGGAACCAAAGCAAAAGGTGTACAGACGTGGATACCGGAAGCTAGTCTAGCCAATGGGAGCATACGTTCTTCCATGGGCCTCCCTCGGCGCAATCCAGGCGCATGCCCTGTGAAGCCACGGCGCATGCCCTGTGAAGCCACGGCGCATGCCCTGTGAAGCATCCGTGTCCCATCCTGGCTCAGTTCCTTCTGCCGGAGGAGCACCCCGCCACCAACCGCGCTGAGCCGCCACAACGACTGAAGGAGCTATGCTGTGTGAATACAGTCTCCTCCACTCAAGAAGGGCCAGGGGAGACCAAGGCACAGATGGGTGTGGGCGGGGAGGTGCAGGATGAGAGCAAGGAAAGCTGCCGGAGGCACAGCACAGTTCAGCAACTGCTGTCACCCAACACCTTGCAAGCACCTTTCCAATCTCAATGGAGAAATCACTTTCAGCCCAAGGAAGCCCTCACAGCTATCCCCATTGAGTTACCCCAGCAACTGGTGATAGAGTCATGTGGTGGGCACCTGCTAATGAAATCCAGGATCGTGATCACTGTGTCACTGCACCTAAGAAAGCTGGGACAATGATGGGCTCATCTTCATCAAGCAGCGGCTTTCCCATTACAAAGGAAACAGCACCCCAATCCACCACACAAACTGGGCTTTCCCAATACATAATTGAGATTTAATACTGCTCTAGTGGTCCTCAGACTTGGTGTTTCCAAACTATGAGTCTGGGGATCAGGCCACCATTTAAAAAGATTAATTCTGCTGATCAAAGGCTTAAAAAAAAAAAATCAAACTTTGGCTGTCATATTGTACTGCGGGCCATTTACATACACATAAATGCAACAGTAAAAACTTACCTCCGCAGAGGGGCATTCTCCTCAATATCTTCCAGGGTCTCCAAGGATGATCTCTGGGAGATGAGGCGACGTCTGCAGGAAAGAGGGAAGAAAATCTACACGTTAAAACTGGATTGTAAAATGGATCAGCATTTCTGTAATCTAAAACTGTTCTAAAAACTAAAGTTCATTTAAAAACAAAAAAAAAAAAAAGACTAGACAAAAGCTGTCTTTAAGAGGCTGTCGTGTTCCCAGCCTGCACCCTGAATGCCAGGCCCATCTCACCCTGCTGAATTTTGAGCATTCCCCCTGGTTAATAGGGCCACTTGATGTTGATCAGGGAAGTGACTGATGTTTTTATGCTGAAGTTTTATCAAAAAAGACAAGGTCCCTCTTATTTAACTTGGAAACTGTGCAGTTTTTATAAAACATTAGATAATACTATTAAGTATTCAGGTACCCCATGGTCTGAACCAAGTTAACTGATAAATATTACATTTTAAAACCATATTAAATAAAATCTCAAAACCATTAGGATGCAATAAAAAAGTTATGGTCTCTGGATGGCCATGATTTCAAAAGCAACTAGCAACGTGGAAGACATTACTCCTTTGGGAAAGTTTCTCAGCGACCATAAGATTAGACACCTGGGCATGATTAGGTAAAACATAGACTCTTTGGGGCTGCTAAAGAATTGCAAACCACCAGCCAAAACCTCCTTAATCTAATTCCTTTTGCCAGATGAAAGAACAAACAGATTCCAGTTAACTGAGAATATCTTAAAGGGATCAGGGTGGTGTGCAGAGGCTAGTAACTTTACAATCAGTCCATTTGAAAAAACACCATTATTTCACAGTAAATGGTTTGGCCGAGGATGCAGATGGAAAAAAATCTGATTGGGCTTTTATCTTGAAAAAAGGGGACTATAATGAGAAGGATAAGCCTATTTTATATTACATTTGATAAAATTAGGTTAAAAACATGCATTTATAACCATGTTCTAATCTGTCCTAAAGAACAACAACAAAATGAAATGCGTATCCCTTCTTCTGTGTGTACTTTTTCTGACCATTACCCTGGAATCTTTTATGTCTTACTCTTAATAAGACAATCAGAAAGGTCACTTTTGCAAACAATTCAAGGGCTTCATCAATTTTCTAAGTGCCTTTCCTAATCTTTTATATCAATTCCTTTCCAAAAGAGTCATCACACCCCTTCTACTTTGTTCTTCAGTGGTAAACTGGTATTCTCTCAGACCTTCATTTACCAATATGGGAATACCAAGAGTTCTAGAACATTATCTTTAGTGTCTTCATGACACACTGGACCTTTTGCAAGATCCGCAGTGTCACTCTGCACTTAACTTCCACTGAATTTCTATTTCCATAATATTCCCAGATTTCTAATAGTCAGCCAGACCTGAGGCAATGGCTGTGGGGAGACACTGGTCTTACCTGAGAGGGGTGCATGGGGGCCCAAGTGGGTGGGAACTGATTTTATAGGTGGCCAATTCATTAGTAAGTAGGACTGTCCTGAGCAACCCTGTAACTCCAGGGACTCAGCTACACCAGGATCCCTGTGACAGACCCTTGCAGCTGTGGCTTTGAACTGACCAGGCCAGCAGCTGAAGCACAGCCCTTCCATGTACGGAGTCCCAGGCTGGGACAGGACAAATGCCCAGTCAGTCTCACTGCCATCCATCACAGCTCTTGGGACCAGAGCCCCCACCGTCCCCATCCAGAGGCAAGTGCAATTCCACAAGCACCAGGCATGCAGAGTCAAAAAAATTCAGTCCTGGGGTTCAGAGGCTTTAGAGTCCTAGAAAACTCCTTAATCTTTGAGCCTTAATTTCCTCATCTAAGAAACAGGAAAAGGAAAATAACTAAGAAACAGAGAGATTCCCTGGCACAGGGCAAAAAATGACCGATAGCTACTGGATTTTTGACAACACTCCCGGCACTGAGGCTGCACCCTGACCTGACACCATACCCCCACCCACGCATCCTGGCTTGAAGGACTGGGATCAGCTTGGCTGCCCTAGCTCGGGCCCTTCCCCCAACCCCAGCCAGTGGTAAAGTCACCCCAAAATGCCTTGTGCCTGAGCCCACCTGAGGCACATGCCCTTTTGACACCTACACCCCCTAAGAAGAACTGAGTGCCACCTTTGCTGATGCCCTGGTCTCAGGCCTCCTCCAGCATCTGATGATGCCTCCTAGCCCCTCTAAGAATAGTGTGGTTGGCACTCCAGCTGCAAATGCCAGGTGAATCCCATGGTGAACATACAAGGCCCTGGCATGTAGCCTGGGACCCCACAGGCTCTCATCCAACATTCAGGCCAGGGTGTTCACCCTGGACAAAGAGGTCCACTCACAAAAGCACATAATCCAACAATTTCCCTATCAAAAAGCTGTATCCATATCTTCCTACACCAGGAAAAAAGGGTGCTTATTTGGAAAAGAACCAAATTTGAGGGGCGCCTGGCTGGCTCTGTCAGTAGAGCACTCAACTCTTGATCTCGGGGTTGTGAGTTCAAGCCCCATGCTGGGTATAGAGATTACTTAACAATAAAATCTTATGGGGCAGTTGGGTGGCTCAGTGGGTTGGGTGTCCAACCCTTGATTTTGGCTCAGGTTATGAACTGGGGGTTATGGGATTAAGCCTTACATCCGGCTGAGTGTTCAGCTCAGAGTCTGCTTCTGCCTCTCCCTCTACTCATCTCCCTACTCATCTGTGTACTTTATTATGCTATTAACTAACTAATTAATTAAATCTTAAAAAAAGAAAAAAGTAGTCTGTATGCCCAAGGTGGGGCTTGAACTCACAACCCGGAGATCAAGAGTCACATGCTCTACTGACTGAGCCAGCCAGGTTCCCCCGATTTGTTTTCTTAAAGCCAGTACACCTGGGACACTTGGGTGGCTCAGTCAGTTGAATGTCTGCCTTCAGCTCCAATCATGATCCCAGGGTCCTGGGATTGAGTCCCAGGCAGGAGACTGCTTCTCCTTCTGCCTGCTGCTCTGCCTGCTTGTGCTATCTCCTTCTGTCTCTCTCACTCTCTCCATCACATAAATAAATAAAAATCTCTTAAAAAAAAAAAAAAAAAAAAAAAAAAAAAAAAGCCAGTACATCTAATGGTCTTCATGAGTTGAACAGGTATAGATACACACACAAGAATTTAAGGTCTGGGGGCGCCTGGGTGGCTTAGTGGGTTAAAGCCTCTGCCTTCGGCTCAGGTCATGATCCCAGGGTCCTGGGATCGAGCCCCGCATTGGGCTCTCTGCTCAGCAGGTAGCCCGCTTCCTCCTCTCTCTCTCTCTCTGCCTGCTTCTCTGCCTACTTGTGATCTCTGACAAATAAATAAAATCTTAAAAAAAAAAAAAAAAGAATTTAAGGTCTGGTACCCTTAAAGGGAAGAAAACCCAAACCCCAAATACCCACTGGTTCCTTTAAATTCGGTGACTATGCTTCTCTTCTTCATGAATGGAACCCAAGCAATATCCATTTGACCTTCAAACACCATGGAACTGGCTGTGCAGGTCCATTTACATGTGAACATTTTTGATAAATACAGAACAGGACTATAAGTATATTTTCCCTCCCTTATGGTTTTAACATTTTCTTTTCTTCAGATTCCTTTATTGTAAGAATATAGTATATAATACCTATAATGTACAAAATATGTGTTCATCAGCTATTTGTCATTGGTAAGGCTTCCTTCTGGTCAAAAGTAGGCTACTAATAGTTGTGGGAGAGTAAAAAAAACCAAAAAACTACACGCAGATTTTCCACTGCACACAGGGGTGGGGGGCAGTGTTCCTAAGCCCCGCGTTGTCTAGGGCCAACTGCATGTATTCTCTGAGATAGACATACAGAGCTTGCAAACATTATAGTCAAAAGGCACCATGGAAATAAAGATGTGATGCCCGCCCTTCCCACATAAAATAAGCCTGTGTTCACGGCCACAAGGGCATACCCTGTGGTGTTAACCCAGGGGTGCTCCTCTCTGCCTCCTGCCACCTGTTAGATCTTTCTAAGGCATGTAATAACCTCTCCCCTTGCTTTCTATCCTCAGAAAGCCCGAAATGGAAGAGAAGGCTCAGGGCAGAGGGCCGACCTTCACCAGGAACTTTCCACCCTTCAATTGGCCTTATAAGCTGAGTCCATCACGACACAGAGTCCTCATCACTGGGCACAGGTAACAAGCAGAAGTCTCGGCACGTTTAAATGACTGACAATGCATAGCCTTCTTAGTAAGCAAGCAGACATTAAGTAAGAGCCCGAGCATTACGTTTCGACTTCAACAAATGGGAAGACGCAGTGACCGGTCCTCCCATGGAGTCGTCAGGTTTCCCTGCCCGGTCTTTGGGTTACGATTGGGGCCTTTCCACACAGTCCCTGAATACTTTTGAGGCCAATGTGGCTCATATTCAACTGTGCACACAGTTTCTCTAAAGCCCCCAGACTTATTTGAGAACATTATCTTCCAAATGCTGACTCTGTCTAGACAAGCAAGTGCTAATCGTGAGGAGACTGCTTATCTGGACACACCCCCACCTGGACCAAATTAATTCACTTATCATTAGGGCTGATGGTTCACTGCAGAGTGACTCACTGTGTGCTCCTGACACTTAGGGCTGCTTATGGAATCCACTGACACTGAAAACTTAAGGAAAGGTCACTGGGAGAAGAGAGAGGAAAAAATCACATGGAAAAACACATGACTGGGGTAACAGGGGGCCAGAAGAGGCAGGACCCAGGGCCAGTATTTGGAAAGTGTCTTTTAGGCAGAAGTGTCAGAGCAATAACCATAAGTAGTTATCCATACAAACTGACGGAGGTAGAGGAGCTGCCCGGCCACCCCAAAAGGCCTCCTGGCCACTGTTGTTGTCAACCCAGTCGGTAGCAATTCTGGGGACCTGAGGAGAGTGAGGGGCAAGGTGGGAGCTGTGCCCGGGACATCTTCATCAGGCCTTCTGGAAAGGGGCTGTCTCTTCTTAGCATTGTAAGCAGAGTGCCTCTGAGAGAGAGAGCTGATGGGGGCAGGAGGGTAACTGCCAGAAGAGCCTCACCAGAGCTGAACTCTGAGCTCACTG